AGCCCAGCAATAATCCACATCACATAACACAGCTTCCAATAAATAGGCGAAGCATTCTCTTTCCAACATCCAGCTGAATCCTTCCCACCATTCTTGAACCAGAATAAATCCTATTTCTCCCCTTTAAATCTTCAAATAGCACACATCTTGAATACTTAGCAAAAAAAAAAAAAGCAGCTCATAGTCTTATCTCATTTTACCTCATGGTCTTTATGTTTTATGTCTATCATACCAAGCATTTTGTAGAATTCAAGGCATTTAACAAAAATGTAATTTGGACTTACTATTTGCAAACTTCTTTATGTGTTAAATATATTAAATATAAACAATACACTTCAAAACTATCCTGAATTTAGTTTTGTCATCTTCATTTTATCAATAGGGAGACTGAGATTCAGAGAGGTTAAGTAAATTATCCAAGGTCACACAGCTAGTATGTATAACAACATATTCAAAATCTGGACTGTAGTCCATTTGCGTCTGAAACAATGACTTCTACTAAAATTTGCATTCTTTTATATAGTCTATACTGTTAACATGAAAGGGCTCATGGTATTATGATTCCTTAAGAGAGTTAAAAATAAAGTGCTATAGGAGTTCAGATAAATTGCTAGGTGGTGGGGAATCAGGATCAAGATAGGCTTCAAGGAAGAGCTGTGGAGGAAGGGTAGAATGTTGACAAAGGAAGGAAAATATTGTATACAAAAAGATCCCTAGAGCAAAGTCAGAAGCAATACTGCCTAACACTGAGGGGGTGGTTCTGTTCGGATAACAGATAGTTTTCAAGCCTTTTAAAGTAAAATTTACAAAGAATAGTGAAAAGTAAGACTGATGGTTCAAGATTGGGAGGGCCTCAAATAACTCCATTTCTGCTTCTAATCAACATTGGATAGACAAAAGTGTTAATAAAACAGAACCATGCCAACCTAGTTCATTAGATATTCCATCTTTCCAAACTAATCTGGCTTTTATATCACTCATCTTTTGACCAATATGTGTAATCTCTAGGCAACCACAATACTTAAAGTGGTTATTCTAGAATTTCTTCTCTCAGGAACATCTCTATGGAATTCCTACCTGCCCTTTTTATCAATGAAGAAAAACACTTCCCATCTTCTGAAGACTAATGAGACTATGACACATAAGCCATCCTTTTGTGCCCGATCCTCACCACAATTTTCTCATTCCTCCCTCTAGGAAAACAATAAAAAAATCTTCTTCCCTAAGGCAACCCTCACATCTAAAACTAACCCTTCATCATTTCCTCTAGAAGCTGGTTCCTTATAATTTCCTACCTTCATAGTAGGATTTTCAAATTCAAATGTGAGAAGGTGGTCAGAGATAAGAAACGGGTATAAAATAGTTTATATTGTGGATCAATCATAATACCTGTCTCATTATACTGTCTTTCAAAACACTCTGGGAACCATACATATGAACCATAGATGGCCTACTGGCCTGCCACTTTACAACCTTTATGATTTTGCATCTTCAGGTCCTATCTTTATTCTCTTTACCTATATGTCTTCCTCATTAGACCTAGTTTCTTGAAGGCAGAAACTATGTTGATTGGAAAAAAAGAACATGTAAATGACTTATTATAATAAAATACCTTAAATATAATACAGCTATATACACGGTGCTATGGGAAAGAACTAGTTATCTAGCATAGCTTCTCCTAAGATTGATATGAAGCTTAATCTTGATGGATATTTAGGAGTTTGCTGGGCACACTAAAGAAGAAAAGGGCGTTCCAGCTCAAAGAAATAGAATATGCTTGATTTAGAAGTATTAAAGAATAGGATATTAAGGAATTGTTAAGTGTTCCTGTATGCATGAGTAAGAATGCAGCTGGAGATGAAATTAGAAAAGAAGGCAGGGATGAGATCACAAAGGACAATAGGGAGCCATTTGATGGTTTTTTTTTTTTTTTTTTTTTTTTTTTTTGAGACAGAGTCTCTCTCTCTCTCTCACCTGGGCTAGAGTGCCTTGGCATCAGCCTAGCTCACAGCAACCTCAAACTCCTGGGCTCAAGCGATCCTCCTGCCTCAGCCTCCCGAGTAGCTGGGATTACAGGCATGCGCCACCATGCCCGGCTAATTTTTTCCATATATGTATTTTTAGTTGTCTAGATAATTTCTTTCTATTTTTAGTAGAGACGGGGTCTCGCTCTTGCTCAGGCTGGTCTTGAACTCCTGACCTTTGAGCAATCCACCGCCTCAGCCTCCCAGAGTGCTAGGATTACCATTTGATGGTTTTGAGGAGAGAAATACAGTAGTCCCCTGCCCTTATCCACAGGGAATATATTCTAAGACCCACGGTGGATGCCTGAAACCATGGATCATAATGAACCCTATATATATTTTTTCCTATACATACCTATGACAGTTTAATTTATAAATTAGGCACAGTAAGAAACTAATGACAATAATTAATAATAAAATAGAACTATAACCAGCCCCATACTGAACAAATTTCAAAGCCTCCCCCTTAACTATTTAACCCTGGAGTTGTTTCCCAGAAATAGGGGATTTTCTGCAAGACAAAGAAGCTGAGATTCTGAAGGCCCCTAGGCAGACTTCCTGATGCCAAGATTCACCATCAGCCACAATCCGCCCCCAATGCATATAGCCAGCCCCTTGTAAGATACACCATGACCTGCCCCAAGGCATGTGGCTCCTCCTTTAAAAGACTATGATCTCCCTTAGTTGGGAAGACAGGATTTGATTTAAGGCAGCTTCTCCCTCTCTCTGTGGTATCAAAAATTCCTTTCTTCCTTGGCAATCCTCATTGTCTCAATAACTGGACCTAGACCTAAACTCCCTTTCAGTTTCAATAACAGAACAATTATAACAACATACTAATAAAAGTTATGTGAATGTGGTCGGTCTCTTTCTTTCTCAAATTTCTTATCATATTGTACGGCAAGTAACTGAAACCAAAACTGTGGATAAGGGGATCACTGGAATATGATCTCTGGTAACCATGTAGAATACTCATGGGCATGCAAGAGACTGAAGACAAGGCAACTGCTTAGGAGACTACGGCAATCACGGGGATGTTAAATGGTGAATATGAACTAAGGAAGTAACAGTGTGGGTAATTAGGAGAGAGAGTTCAAACTTATTTAGGAGAAATGATCAGCAGAACTTAATTGGTTGGATGTGGAGGAATTGGTAATATTTTACTGCCTTCTGGCACAGTGCATTAGATTGGTTCCAGTCCACATTAAAATAAGCTCAAAATCCCTTTTATCTCCCCAAACTCTTATTCAACCCCACCCTTCCTACACAGAGCCTCCAGTTTAATACAAGTCCTCACTCACCCACTCAAAAGACTCCCAGGTATTTTCCCAAACAAATCTCTCTTGGTCCTAATCCAGTGCTTTTCAAAGTGTGAAGTACTTCTCAGACTACCTTAACAGTGGTACTAGATAAAAATGCAAATTTATTGGCCACATCTCAGACCTTCTGAATCACAATCCTGTGGGAGGAGGAGAAATCTTGCATTTTTATGCACTTTAAAGTTTGAGAACCATTAACCTAATCCAGCCTATCCACCTATCGAATTTATTTCTCTTAAACACTGTTTTCATCGTATCACTTCCTTGCTGAAACTAATTTCTAATCTTCTGCCTGGACTTAAAGACTCTCTTTCAATTTGATTTTTTAATCTTTCCAATATATATTATTTCTTCCAACAAAGTCAACCTCATTTCTCACCTTCCCTCTTCCCCACCCCTGCACATATAGTTTGGTTCTGTCTCTGGGCCTTTGCATTTAATATTACTTCCAGAACCTGCGAGCTTCTCCATAGTCTCTTCTCCCTAGTCAAACCCCAGCCATCATAACTAACGATTCCTGAAAGCCCAGCTTAATTCCAGATATTTACATGGAGTTTTCTCTAATTATTCCAACCTGGCTTCTTTCTCCTACCTAAGAATTCCTATCACACTTACAGTCAGCACGCACAATTTAAGGTTTGATTACTTCAACATATATCAACTAGAAGCTCTTATCTCATTCTTATTTTCCAGTCATCAGTGCACATAGCACAATTCTTGACACATAATAAGCACTAAATAAATATTTCCTGATTTTTGAAATTATCCTAAAAGGTTGAAGGGTTTTTCCCCCTAGATATCGCACAAATTTTAAAAAGGAAAAAGAAAAGAAAATCAACTTTAAAAGCAAAACAAATATTAAATACATTCCCTATTCTAGACACCTCAGTACTCAGTCATGTTAAAGATAATGTTTCCTACTCTGTTCTCTAAATAAAAAATGCTTAGTCATGAAGGCAAGGTAATTACAAATAGCTCTCAATCACAATACAGGCCACTTTGGGCATGTTATATAATAGTGCATCATGTAATTATACCACTGAAATACAGTACCTTGAATATAAAACCCTTAAATGGCAGCAACAGAAGGAATCTTAAATTTTAAGCGAATCATTTGAGTTTATCCATTTAATATCTGAACCCCAGAAAAATTACATGACTTGCCCCAAATCACAGAGCTGATTAAGCACCAAAAAAGACGAGCACTCAGGCCTCCTAACTGCACGGCAAGGGTTTTTTTTCACTACACTATGTGCTCAGTGATACTATAATCAAAGTGCCATACTTTAATAAGAATTCCTGTTAGCATTTTAGGAATCTCTTTCTACCACCCTAAGAAATTGAGATAAAACACACATTTTCATCAGAATCATAAAGACTGACAGAGGTATAATTCCAAAAACAAACAGAAAAATAGTAAAAACTTTCTAAGACAAAACTATACAAGCATATTCTAGTTCTAAAACATCTCCCAAAACCACAGGAAAAATACTTGCCAGAGCTAAATTCTAATCACCTGATCTTAACATTCGTCTCACTGCTTCGGTAAAATACGTACCAAAAGAAGAACCAAACGTATAAAATACTACAAGCGAAAATCACAATTTGCAAAAGCACAAATTTATATCTAAGGGTAAAACACATCTTTTGTACTCACCGTAACTTTACTTCCAACTATCTGCATGCAGTGGTCAACGAAGAGTGGTTATGGTGTAAAAAAAAACAAACAGCAACAATATTAGTAATCAGAGGCTTTTCACAGAAGTTAAGTGTTTAGTAAATTAGTAAACAGCTAACCCTATTTATACTTATAATACTTTAGATCTAGAGAGGCTAAAACAAACATATCAATATTAATTTCTACTATGTTTCAAGAATGTGTAAAGTCTACAAAATAAAGATTCCCAAATAGATGATAATTACTATTAGAGGATCTTTTAAAATGTACTGTAATGAGCTTTTCCTGTAGTGCAATCTAAATATCAAGTAACGCAAGGTTAAGTGTAATCAGGCATCAGATATTTTACCATCTCACAGCTCCTGAAAAAGCTATCAATAGAAAATTCATTTTTTTCCCAAAACTATTGCTTTTTCTTTTCTTTCCTTCTTAAGGAATATATACTATTAAGACTGAAATAAGGTATTTTAGAATATAAATGCTGCATTTAAAGTCATGCATTAAGTTCAGAAGTGAACTTTAGGTTGAAAACTGGAATATTTTTATTGTTATGAATTTAAGGTCTATAATATTGTTTTTGTATTATACTTGAAAAACACAAAAAACATAGATTGCTTATTATTCTACTTTTCTAGGTCATCCTAGCATTTCTATTATAAGATCAGAGTTTGCTATATAATGTGAAGACAAAGAAGCATTTCATATCTACACATGCACATATTCATAAGGAGGAAACGGTTCAAAAATTGCAACTTCGATTGAGGTTTCCTAATGGGTAAGAGATAAAAGAATTTTTGAAAGGCAGAATTGTATTACAGAAAGCAAGAAATAAACTCATAGTCCTAAATATAATTTTATGCCAAAATAAAAATATAAGTTGAATCACTGTTATCATATTCTCATATTTTAATATCAAAACACTGTCCGAAAAACAGCTAATCCACAATCCAAAACCATTAATCTGATAGCAGTTATTATCAAAATCTCAGCTAGTGCTTTAAACAAAGTAAAATTTAATTGAAACCCCAGTAAGTATCTTAAGTTGAAGAGGATATCACAATATACAAAAAGATAATGACGGTTCCAAGTAAACTGTCATTTCAGAGGAACCAATGAATCTCATACAGCACCAGATGCGATAGATCAGACAAGGGAAGCTAAGAGTAACTATTTCGGTCATATCTGGGTTCGATTGTTTCCAATCATATCCAAATCATACCTGGAACAGACCTGAGAACGAAAGGATCTGATAATGGCAAAAGCAAAACCATAATACATCTATACACATACACATATAAATATACTGCAATTTTTAACTATTTGTTATATGTATATAGGTCAGGGTAACAAATTTGTAGATGTAGTTGGTATCACTATTGTAAATTATTTCCTATTGAGATTAAAAAAAATCAATGCTACCTTTCAATGGCTCACATCTTCAAAAATATAATTTTACTTACTTTTTAAATCTCAATTTCAAAGATTATGATTAAATTAGAAATAAACTAGTTTCTTCTAATAAGGATGTCGGCGTTCGACAAACTAATGTTAGGACTTTGGTGAATAACTTTTCCTCATAAATGTCTGTGTATGCTGTTAAATGCATGCAAAATACCCTCTAAATCACTGACATATTGTGCCTGTTTCAGGATTACAAATCAGTAGGACACCTTTTGCAATAATAACAAAGCTTGGTTTTCCATTTCTGAAAACATATGCTGGTGTTTTCGAAATATAGATTCTTTCAGGTTATTTTTGGCCAAATATGAGTATATGTGGCCACATATGACTATAAACCATTTTCCACCAAGGACTCTAGCACTTAACTTTGTTTTAACTTCATGATGAAAGTTTTGATTACCTGTAAAGCATTTTCACAAAGTGGCAGTTATAATCATATCTACTTTAAATGAGGAAACATTTTAAATCAGTGCATCAATATAATGAAAAAGCATAAAAAAGCACAAGACATGCAAAGCATATTTAAAGCCTAGTGAGAGACAAACAGCACAATGGAAACCTTCGTTGTACAGAGGTAAACAGCCATACACTGGGTTATAATTGGTGTAAATTTTATTGTTCTGATCATGAAGAAGTCAAAAGATTGGAGTATTGTTTGTCACTGAATGCCATCCCTCTCACCTTCAAAAGGAAATTACATAAACAATTTTCGTGGTTTTAATGATAGAAAACACAGTACTAATTAACGTCTCTCTAAGGTGAGAAAGCTTCAAAACATGCTTGTCAACGGGCTTTCTTCCATCATAATATTTGGTCCATGAAAAATACTAGCAAAAAAAATGTTTAATCTCAGAACTCTTATAAAAGTGCTGTGCATATGTTGGGTGCTCATATGTATGGTGAATGAAACAAATAAGGACCACAAACTAAGGAGTACTGATTTTGAGACTAATGCCTTAAACATAGAATTTTCATGTCTTTTGAGAAACATTCAATTTACATGTTTTGAATAAAGCAATTCAAGTGAGCTCATCTAATAGTTACCCAAATTTTGGCATTTTAATCTGAAAAATGAGTACATAACTTAAAGTGTGCGTTTCTTTGTTCGCTTGAAGAAGAAACAATATGAGAATAAATGAAAACACATTCTGCACAGATCAAGTAATAATCAAAAGGTCAAAGAATAAGAGCTTCATATAATCTTCATTATATTCAGTCTCATTTACACAAACAACAATAACAACAACAAATGAGCCAGAGACGCTAACGAAATTTATCACTGAAACCACGACGTGATTATTCATATATTATTATCTATTATTATCTGTACTTTGCACTCAGATTCAGTTGTATACATTTACTAGTGTATAAGCTTTTAGGTATTTGAAAAATAACACTAAATGTACACCCTGCATTTCCTAAAGCATTTTACTCTGAACAATAACTTGAGTGCAAAAATGAGAAGAGATTCATCAGAATTTCAAAGTAAAACCCTATGCATCACCTAATTCTATTGAAAACGACGCTCATGGCAAATTCCACTTATCACTTGAAACATATTTCTGCCCTTGGATACCAGAAGCAAATTAAAAAACATGCTGTTGCTCTGCTCTGGCAGAGCTGCAATGTGTTATGTTTAAGTAGTTCAGCATTCAGATTTAGCTTGCTTAAAGTACAATATAGAATTAATACAATTGTAGAATTCAGAGCAAAATGCATTAGTAATTGCCACTGGAATTATTGTTCTGAAATAGCATTAATAGGATAGCCAAATAACTTTAGAATATATTTTTCCCATGAAGACCTGTTTTCTTCACTGGTCAACTTTTTAAATTTAAAATATGTGTGTTTTATATGTATGTATGTGCACATATACACATGTATATAATATATATAAACATACATATATACACACATAAAATCACTGTGTGTATATATACATACATACACACATATATACATACATACAGTTATTTTATGAACTCTAGATATAAAAAGCTTTTTCCTTACAGAAATGTAAAAGATGAATTTTGCCATTTCAAAAATATGACTCTCAAAGAGATTTGATCAAAGCTCCTATTAAATGCCCTCCTTTATATTTTTAAAATTTTTTTATTTTTCTTTGCAAGGCCAAGGCTGGAGGAACGCTTGAGCTCAGGAGTTCAAGATTAGCCTGAGCAAGAGTGAGACCCCGTCTCTACTAAAAATAGAAAAATTAGGCGGACATCATGGCCCATGCCTACTCGGGAGGCTGAGGCAGGAGGATCGCTTAAGCCCAGGAGTTGGAGGTTGCTGTGAGCTAGGATGACGCCACAGCACTCTACCCAGGGCAACAGAGTGAGACTCTGTCTCAAAAAAAAAAAATTATTTTTGATTATTAGGGGTACATAATAGTTGTATATATTTATAGGATACATGTGATGTTTTGATACAGGCATATAATGTGTATTAATCAAATCAGGGTAATTAGGGTGTCCATCACCTCAAGCATTTCTCATTTCTTTGTGTTAGTAACATTCCAATTCCACTGTTTTAGTCATTTTAAAGTATATCCTAACTTACTGTTAATTATAGTCACTTTGTTGTGATTCCTTTATATTAATTAAAGCTGTACAATAACAATTATGAAGCAGCTTACGTAGTTTGCAGTACATAAAATAATGAAAAAACAAAATAGCATAATAAAAAATATTGCTAAAAATTTCATGCAGACACTAGACATGTAGCTTTAATATAAATTTAAATAAAGCTGTGACTGTGCTATATTTGTGTCTTCTCCCTCAAAATAGGAAATTTTCATCTAACGAACTGCTTTTTAAGTGGAATACCTGCAAAATGTTGTCAATTTTTGGTTAAGCGCAGAAAATCACAGCACCCAAACTCACCAGATAACCTCAGAGATTTTGTATCCTTAGTCTGTATTGTTTGTAATAATTAAAGCATCTCATTTCTAATGATGAACAGTTTAGAAATATATATTAAGTTTGTAAAAATACATATATAAATTAATATCTAAATAGTCTACATGAGTACATTGAGGCAAAATTTGAAGAGCTGAGGTTTGTTTATTTTTCAGCAGATATTGCTAAGTTAATTGTTCATTCTGTTGGTGCCAGGAAAATCTCCCTACTTACAGATTTGGCAGTGGCAGAAATATACTGGACAACCATCTCACGCTTGGTGGTAAAATCTTTGTTTCGTAAAGGAGCTTTTTTTTCTTCGTTAAGGTTCATATCCTCCTGTAAGAAAGAACATTTACAGTGAGCACTGATAAATTTCTGCTTAAGAATTTCAGAAGATGGCTGACCAGAGACACCAGCTGCCAGATCGTCTCAGAAAGAAGGAAAAGGTGTAGATGAAAAAGAAAGAACAAACAAATAATCATAGATCAGGGTGTAACTATGAGGGAAAAGTGCCAGAACCTACCAGACATTCCATGGGAAGAAGTTGTGGAGCAGAACAAGAAGGAGCAAGGTATTGGCAGAGGTCAACCCCCTAGAGGCTTGGAGTCCAGTAAAATGGGTAGGTGTAGTTGGTTTTGTTTTTCCCCCCTCCCTCACATCTCTGGCAGTCAGCAGGCTCCTGAGCTGCTGGAGACCCTTTCCACCCTCATGAACCCAAAAGCTGCTGCTGCCAGTGAACTGGGAGCTTCTTGAGGACGAAGCAGCAGGCTGCCAGCCCCTTCGGGTTGCTTCCTGTCGCCATGGACCCGAGCTTAGACGGCAGGTGGCATGCTGCTTCTCCACCCACCGTGCGCCTTTGTCCTCCCCAGGGAGATTCAGCCCCTCAGTTTTCGTCTCACTCGTTCCCAGACAAACATTTCCCAACTCCAGCCCACACTGCAGGAGCCACAGAGTCCGGTGGGTCCAGGGGATCCGTGTAACCCCAGAGCCTGGACATTCTAAGCAGGCTGCCTTCCAGAGAGAGGGATAGAGACGAAAGACAAGAGTGCTAGCTATCGTCCATTCAGACACTTTTCCTCTCCTTCCCCTCCTCCACCTAGGGCTGCCAAGAGAGACGATTGAGCCAGGGCTCTCAGGAGCTGCTTCTTCCCCCCCGTATTGCTGCATGCACCACACCAGGATTTCCACAAAGAGACGGACTCAAACCTTCCCTTGTAAACACCTGCAGAGGACTAAGGGGTTCTCAGACAGGGACCTCCCTGCTCACCAGCCCTCCCTGGTGCTGCAAGCCCAGCTGCTCCATCAGAGCAGTGCACACCCTGGAGCATAGGGACATCAAACCTGCTTGAGCACCCCACAGACAACTCAAGACAAGCATGCTTTTCCCTGGCACGGTCAGAGACTGATCTTTGGGGACCCAGGGACAGGCCCACAGGCCAGATCCCATACCCCCAGGAGTATATCATATTGCTGGGGGGGCATGGAAGGGAGATGTGTGAACTAATCTTGGAAGGTGAGAGAGCCCACATGGGCAGAACTGAATAGAGAGCGCAGTGTGGATCCCAACCACAGCACACTCCTGGAGCAACCGTCCTACCACAGGAAAGCCGCGCTCTTAGTCCAGGAGAGAATCTTGGACAGGAAAGCTCCAAGCCTGCAGTGCCATCATGGGGGAGCTCAGCTAGTTTGAGCTTCTGCCTTCTGGCAGACACCAGAGGGAGACCACAGAGCAGGGGAGGGGGCAGAAGAGAGAAACCTGCCCCCGAAAGCCTGACTGTGGACCTCACATGGCCCTTGCTTCCACAGCCAGACTTTCTGGCTAGGTAGGGCCATCTTAGGCCCTCTGGGACAGCTTTCCTGGTATGGTAATAATGAAACAGCTACCTTACCAGCTATCTTGGAGCCTGAGGGTAGACTCAACCAACCCACCCCACCCAGCCTCACTCCATCACCCACCTCTGCTGTGGTGGAGAATAAGGACTCATCTGGAAGTTCCAGGGCCCCACCCACCACCTGAGACATTCAAGCATTTCTCCTAAGGGGCTAGAGCTGGTCACAAGTCCCCAAAACAACACTGCAGCTTGTTCCTTCTGGCAAGTGCCACCTACTGACAGTGAGGTCAATTTGCACAGCCCTTTACAGCATTTACCGACTCAATCACACGGGGTGTGGTTGATTCTCACTCAGAAGCATCACCTACTGTCTCAGAGATTAAACTGGGCGTGCCAATACAATTCACACATTAAGAAGACCACAGGGCGTGAGAAAGAAAAAGGATCTCAAAAACCTCCATCCTCCCTCATCAAAGAAAGACAGGAAATCTGCCCACATACATAGCTCACCACTGCTACAGCCTACAATCAACTAGCAACAGAGAAAACCAACACACTAAGGATATCTATAACCAAGGCATCCATCCAGAACCTAGACCCCTATCAAAGCACCCACAAGCAAAGCCAACAGATGCTATAGACACTGCATTATGAGTAAGGGGGGAGGAAAAATAAACTAAGCCCCACCTAAAAAAAAGAAAAACCAAAAATAAAAAGTGACACCCGCCCCAGATGAGAAGGAATCAGCAAAAGAACTCCAGAAGTATGAAAAATCAGAGGGAAAGAACACCCCCAAAGGGGAACATCAGTTCTCTCTAGCAACAGATACCAGCCAAAATGAAAATATTGAAATGACAGCTAAAGAATTCCAAATATGGATTGTAAGGAAGCTCAATGAAATTCATGAGAAAATGAAAAAGCAACTCAAAGAAACCAGAAAAACAATTCAGAAATGAATGAAGAATTCACAAAAGAGATCACATATCAAAAAAAAAATAGAACTTTTGGAAACAAAAAATTCATTTAAGGAAATACAAAACAAGTGGAAAGTTTTAAAAAGAGACTAGACCAGGCAAAAGAAAGAATCTCAGAGCTTGAAGACAACTCTTTCAAATTAACTCAGTAAGTCAAAAATAAAGAACAGAAAATTAAGAGGAATGAACAAAGCCTGCAAGAAATATAGGATTATGTAAAAAGGGCAAATAAAAGAATCATGAGCATCCCTGAGAAGGAAGAAAAAAAACACACAAGGGAGGGAAAATTTATTTGAGGGAATAATTGAGGAATAACTTCCCTGGTCATGCCAGAGATTTAGACATCCAGGTACAAGAAGCTCAACAAATACATGAAAGATTCATTGCAAAGAAGCAATCACCAAGACACACAGTCATCAGACTGGCCAAAGTCAACACAAAGGAGGAACTCCTGTTAGCTGTGTGGTGAAAACATCAAGTAACTTACAAAGGAAAACCCATCAGGCTAACTGCGGACTTCTCAATGGAGACCTTACAAATCAGAAGGGATTGGGGCCCCATCTTCAGTCTTCTTAGAACACTTGCCAGCCTAGAATTCACTATCCTGCAAAACTAAGTTTCATATATGAAGGAGAAATGAAGACAAGCAAACAATGAGGGAATTTGTCAAGACCACACCTGCCCTGCAGGAAATACCCAGAACCACATTATACACAGATAAGCACAATAGACACATGCCAGTGTAAAACCACCCAAAAGCTCAGAGCTCATATAAAACAGTAGCACAAGAGATAAAACAAAGCAATAAGGTACTACTCAACAGGATGAACAGACCAGCATCCCACCTATCAATTCTATCAATCAATGTGATTGGGTCAATCAATGAGTCTGAATGCCCCACCCAAGAAACACAGGCTGGCTGAATGGATAGAGAAATACAACCCAAATATCTTCTGTCTTCAGAAAACACACCTAACACATAAGGACTCATACAGACTCAGGGTGAAGAGATGGAAAAAAATATTTCAGGCAAGTGGAAACCTAAAGAAAGCAGGTGTAACCATTCTCATATCAGATAAAACTGACTTTAAATCTACAATAGTAAAGAAAGACAAAGATGGTCATTATATAATGGTAAAGAGAGCAATTCAACAAGAAGACATAACAATCCTAAATATTTACGCACCTAACATAGGAGCGCGCAGATTCATAAAGCAAACCCTACTAGATCAAAGCAAAGGATAAATAACAGCATCATCATTGCTGAAGACTCCAAAATCCAACTGACAGAACTGGAGAGATCATCTAAGCAGAAAATAAATAAACGAACACTGGACTTAAACGGGACTCTAGAACAAATGGGCCTAACAAACATTTACAGAACATTTTACCCCAAAACTACTGAATATACATTCTTCTCATCAGTACATGGAACATTCTCCAAGATTGATCATATCTTAGGCCACAAAACATGTTTGAACAAATTCAAAAAAACAGAAATCATAACATGTATCTTCTCAGACCACACAACCTCCTAAGACTCAATCAGGAAGAAACAGAATTCCTGAACAGACCAATAATAAGCAACGAGACTGAAGCAGCAATAAAAAAATCTTCCAATGAAAAAAAAGCCCCGGACCAGATGGATTCACAGCTGAATTTCGCCAGACCTACAATGAAGAGCTCATCCCATACTGCAGAAATGGTTCCACAACATTGAGAAGGATGGAATCCTCCCCAACTCATTCTACGAAGCCAGTATCACCTTGATACCAAAGCCACGAAAGGACACAACAAAAAAAGAAAACTACAGACCAATATCCCTTATGAATATAGATGAAAAAATCCTCAAGAATATACTAGCAAACTGAATTCAACAGTACATCAAAAAAATATTCCACCATGACCAAGTGGGCTTCATCCCAGGGATACAAGGATAGTTCAACATATGTAAATCAATAAATGTGACTCACCACATAAACATAAGCAAAAACAAAGATCATATGATCATCTCAGTAGATACAGAAAAAACATTCGACAAAATTCAGCATCCTTTCATGATAAAGACGGAACATTTCTCACGATTATAAAAGCCGTATGAGACAAACCCACAGCCAACATCATACTGAATGGAGAAAAGTTGAAAGCATTCCCACTAAGAACTGGAACAAGACAAGGTGCACACTGTCACCATTTCTATTCAATATAGTACTGGAAGTCCTAGCCAGAGCAATCAGGCAAGAGAAAGAAATAAAGGGTATCCAAATTGGGAAAGAGGAGGTCAAGCTATTGCTTTTTGCTGATGATATAATCTTATATCTAGAAAACCCCAAAGACTATACCAAGACACTCCTGAACTGATAAAAAAAATTCAGCAAAGTCTCAGGTTACAAAAATCAATGTACACAAATCAGGAACATTCCCATACACCAATAATAGTCAAGCTGAGAGCCAAATCAAAGACTCAATACCATTCACAATAGCTACAAAGAAATTAAAATACCTAGGAATATACTTAACCAAGGAGTTT